AGCACCTTGTGGAGCAGGGACTGAAAGGAACCTGCATGGCCAGGAGGAGAGAAAGAGCAGGTGGCTGGCAAGCAGCCACATGGCCCAGTAGTGAGAAGTCAGAGGGGCCTTGGTGCTGGCCTGCCCTGTGTGACACCCTGTCTGACTCCAAGTAGCAGAGCCTGCCAAAGATCTAGTGACATTCAGTCAGGAGTTTGTACCACAGGAAATCCTCCATTGACCTCACTGCGTGGGATTTCAGCAAGACTGAGCCCCAGGGTGGAGGTGTGCTGTGTGTGGTTGCCCAGGTTTTGTTAGGTTCTTGTGCTGGTTCCCGCTGCTAGCCTGGTGAAGCCGTTGTGTTCTGATGGCCTTAGGTGTGACCAGGCCTCTCCCTTATCCTATTCCTGGGGCTCCCGAGAGAGGCTTGTGCCTTAAACCCTGAGATTTGTTTGGGCCACCAGCAGGGCTTTCTTCATTAATGAAGTGGCAGGAAGTGATCAGGACAACAAGTCGGGAGCTCAGCGCTCTCACTGGCTTCAGCAACGGGGCAGCGGGCAGCATGGGCTGCTCTGCCCCCGGGATTCTTGTGCGTGAACAGCACTGAGGAGGAAGGCGGGAGGTCCTGACATGTACTTCATCCTAAATGCCTTCTGCAGGCCGTCAAGAATAAATATGCCAGCAGCAAGCTCCTCAAGATCAGCACGATCCCTCAGCTGAACTCCAAGGCCATCAAGGACCTTGCCTCCCCTCTCCTGGCCAGGGCCTAGGCGTTCTGTCCTCATCCACACACTCTGGATTATTGGTTTAGAACTCATAGTTTTGTACATAGTCAACTGGTCTATTTCATGAAATCTCTTCTCAGATCAATTTTCTAAGTGTAAAAATAAAGCTGTTGATTTTTCTTACGGTAGCACATGTGTACTTATTTATTCTATGCTGATAAAATCAGTGTAGGCTTGCATTGACCAGTTCTTTGTTTTCTCATGAATAGTATATAAGTTACTGCCTTTATGGCTTCAAGGAAGACTTTCCTATAATTTTCCAAGATGGGAAAAACTGTACGTTGATTCAGTCACCCCAACCTTATACCCTTGAATAGAAAATGATTCGTAGGAAAATTTAAAATGGGAGGGTAACTGTGACATTTTCCTTTGTGGAACTTAACTCAGCTGCTCATTAATTCCTACATAGGAACAACTAGCTTAGTAGGGCGACAGCTGCCAGAGTAACTTCATCATGGGTCTCTCACCAAGACAGAATTGGGACTGGAAAGAGCAAGTCTGAGGAAGGCAGGTATCCTGTTGAAGCCAAAAGTTTGGGAAAGATCTTCCCCTTGTTGCTGCCTCAGCTTCACATGCTCACAATGGTGAGGTCATTTTGCCGTTTTGTTTTGTTTTGTTTTAGCCATTTCGTTCACATTTGATGTTTTCTGAGACAATGCAACTGCGGTCTCCAGCCACTAACTCTTGTAGCAACAGCTTCCCAAATTGGGAGTTCCAGAGGATTGCTGTTGCAGTCTTTGAGAGTAAGGAAGTTTGGGAAGCATGACAAGACTGTTGGGAGACTGAGGCCGGCCCTGAGCAAGACCATGAACTCCTCTCCCTCAGCGATGCGCCCTTGAGGTGCATTCTGCCTCTTGTCCCCCAGTGGGACCCACATGGCTGGGCCATTGTCAGGTGGGACATGGGCGCAGCTGCTCTGGAAGAAGACAGTGGCTCCAGTCCCGACTGGGCTCTCCCCCTTCCCTTCCTACTATGCCTTCTGAGCTTGGAGAGGAACAGGTATCTGTGCTGAAATCCTTCTCCACGGCTTTATAATCACACTGTCGGAGCTAGCGGCAGTGGTAGCCCCACACAGGTCCCAAGAGAACAGTGATATCTTGAGACCCTGACGGGAGCTCGTGTGCCTTGGAGAGGCCAGGTTCTTCCCAGGGCTGCTGGACCTCAGATGGTGCAAGGATAGTCCATGGACACTCCTAGCTTCCTTATTACATATTTTACTGAAATACTCAGTGCCTGACTTGGGAAACTCTTCTGGGATGTCATTTAAAAAAACTTTGAGATACTTCCTTATGTGACTTCCAATATAGTGTTAGAAATGTTGAAAGAAGTGGCAAAAGAAGAAATTGTAGCACAAAAACAGGGAGCTTAGAAGCACAATGAAGGTAGGGAACCATTTATGCCCTGGAGGAGGTGTCTGGGTTTGCTTCAGCTTAGCACCATGTGACCTTGTGGCTGCCACCTCCCTGGCCTGTAAGGGGATGGCGGCTTGGGAGCCAGCTTTGCCCTTGGGACAGCATGTAGGATGAAGGAATGCTTCAAGAGCAGCCGCTGTGGCTGCAGGAAGGGGCTGACGGGCTGGGAGGGAAGGATGCTGAGCGTTCCAAGATGCGTCTGACTCTGCTGCCACGCATCCCAGGAACTTAGGCACGTTTGTAGTTGTGTGTCCTGTTCAGGAATTTTTTTTTTTTTTAGGAAAGGTTTTGAAAATTCCTAAACACAAGGAGCAAAGTTTCTCCCTTTTCCTTCCTCCCAGATGGCCCTGGTTCATGCAGTAGTGCACACCCTCTCTGTTGGCTCTAACAGTAGTTCTGGGGCCCTTGCTACCTGCTCAGGAAGTTCTTGTCAACACTGCTTGCCATGGGCTGTGGCTCTTTTCACAGAACCTCCGTTTTCAGCAGCGCGTGGTGGACTCAGGTGATGCGACGTGTCATGCTGTCACTGCCCTGGTGGCCGTGGAATGCGTGTACGCATTTTTTTTTGTTTTAAACAGTTCTCAGTTTTAGTTACAGATGGCAAATCCCACTAGCTGTTAGCTGCCGGCAGCTGAGCCCTCAGTCACCCTGAGTGCTGTGGCTGGAGTGTAGGACTGCTGCTCTGCGACGACGGTCGGAACGCCTCTGCACGGTAAACCTTTGTGGAGGGGTCTGCCCCGCTTCTGCACTTGACACTGCTGTCCATGCCAACGCATACCCTTCATTCCAGACATGATGGCAAACTACAGAAGGCAGGGACGCACGGCTCCTTGCTCCTCCCGGGGTAAGTGACTTGTGCCCTAATCTAGGGCAAGGATTCCAGGTCCCTTCTAGGAAATAAAGTATTTTTCCCCTGAAGACTTTTATTAGGTGAAAAAGGGGAGTAGTTATCTGTCCTAGTGTTTTGGTAGTCTCCATATTAAATCTCTGCAGAAATTAGTTTACAGGTAAGTGAAAGGGTGGCCATCTGGTGGTGGTTCTGATACTCGTTCAGATGGCAGCTCTCACCCTGCAGGGCCCGGGGTCTGACACCTCCAGCTTCCTGCTTATGTAGAGCCTGGGAGGCAGCATTGGCGGCTCAGCCATTGGGTCCCTGCCATCTCCGTGCGCAAGCTGGGGTGAATTTTCCTCTTGTCAGTTTTGACCTCAGCCCAACTGGCCCACCCTCCCCACAGTTTGCAGACATCTGAGGAGTGAATCAGTGGATGGGAGCTCACTTTTTTCTTGATTTTTTATTGGAAAGACAGATATATAGAGAGGAAGATCTTCCGTCCGATGGTTCACTGCCCAAGCAGCTGCAACAGCTGGAGCTGAGCCACTCTGAAGAGAGGAGCCAGGAGCTTCTTCCAGGTCTCCCATGTGGATGCAGGGTCCCAAAGCTTTGGGTCGTCCTCAACTGCTTTCCCAGGCTACAGCAGGGATCTGGATGGGAAGTGGAGCTGCTGGGATTAGAACCGGCGCCCATATGGGATCCCAGTGTGTTCAAGGTGAGGATTTTAGCTGCTAGGCTATCACACCAGATGCTTAAGATTTATTATTATTGTAAAGGCAGATATACAGAGAAGGAAAGACAAAGCTTATGTCCACTGCCTAAATGACCGTAATGGCCAGAGTTGAGCCGATCAGGAGCCAGGAGCTTCTTCTGGGTCTCCCACATGGGTGCAGGGTTGGTTCGAAGGCTGTGGGCCATCTGCTACTGCTTTCCCAGGCCACAAGCAGGGAGCTGGATGGGAAGTGGAGCAGCCAGGATATGAAGCAGTGCCCATATGGGATCCTCGTGCTTACAAGTGGGAGGATTAGCCAATTAAACCACCATGACAGGCCCTCAGTCTTTTAGATTAAAAACTTTTTCCCCAAAGTTTTCAAGCTATAGATAACAAAACTTCATAGTGTGTCTCGACCTAAGTTTTCTTTACCTGTGATGGTAAGTGCAGTCGCCTAGCCAGGTCACACCTGTGGAGCATCTCCTTGGACCTGGCTCAGGCCGAGGGGCTTGGAACTCTGGGCCTGAGGACTTGGTCTGTTACCCAGTGTGTGAGGGTGGGGGCCTTTGTGGTGTTGTGGGGCTTTTAGCTCCTGGTGTGTTACCTAGTCTAAGATTCTTAGTTAAGTAAATATCAGGAGAAAGGACACAACTTTTTCAGTTAGTCATAGATGACTTGTTACTTGTTTGCTTTGTGTTGAGGCAACATAGGAGAATTAAGTGGCTTATCTTTGTTTAAAATCCACATACATCCCCCCTGGTGTGTACCCCTGATAACTGTTCCCCCATGGACTTGAGGTTCCCTAAATGAGGAAGAGGTATGTACTGCTCAGACTTCCTTTCCCAGTAGTGAGGACTGGCTTTGGTGACCAGGAGAGCTGGACTTGTTAGCTCCTCTGGCAAGCCGTGGCTTCACTGTCATGACACTGTGGGTGTTTGCCAGGCTGCTGCCATCAAACTGGGGGGCAAGTCTCGTGTCCGGATGTTAGGAGTCTGACAGCAGGGGTTGGCCAGCTTGCTTCCTCCTCAGGACTTCTCCATGGCGGATTCTTCCTGGCCCTTCACCGAAGCGTGTCCGTGTCTGTGTCCACATCTTCCCTTTTCCTCGGGACACCAGTCAGGGTGCACCGAGGCCTGCTGTAAGGGTATTTTTCCTATGACCTCTAAAGGTCCCATTGTGTATGAGGGCACAGTCTGCGGCACTGGGTGGCAGGATGCCACTGTCTTCAGCAGAGAAGCTGGGGGAAGAGGTACAATTCAACCCAAAACCAAGGTCAGGAGTGGACAGGTGGTTCACCCATTCCTTTATTGACTTATGGGGAAGGATACAGTGGGAGGTGGAGGAAAATGAGCTCCGGGGTGGGCGTTGGCTAGAGCTTTCGGAGCCAGAGGAGCTGGGCGCGGCTCTGAGTACCTGGTGCGAGTTCCGGGATACAAGCTACCCTCTCGTGAGTACAGTGGGATACTGCTTGGTACATTCATACATGTTTCTACCGCCTGGAGATTTTATATATACAGTATATGATCTGTTCTATAAATGTACAGCTTGGAAAAATGATCCTCCTTGTAAATACATACAGTATTAAACAAAACTGATATGGGCCAGCCACGGTCCAAATCTGAGACTTTGGCCTTGCCCCCCTCCACCCCATGGTCCTGGCAAAATGTAAAGCAGCGTCCCTGGGCCCTGTGGGCTCAGGCCAGCTTGCCCTTGGGCGCTGCAGGGAAGGTGCCTGGCTTTGCAGAGGGCTCACCCTCCCGGAAGGAGGGAGGTGAAGGAGAGAGGAACCACAGAAAGGTGCTCTTCAACGAAAGGCACTTGGCAGTTGCTGCCGCCGAGCGGGAAGGAGGCTTTATGTGCCTCTCACCAGGATTAAATACAATAAATAAACCTTAGTGGGCCCTTGGTGGGTTTGCCCTCCTGGGTTCCTGCCAACAGGCTACCTTTCAGGGTCATTTGTGCAGTGCCAGGCCCTGGCTCTAACCCAGCCTTTTTGGAGCCCTCTGTGGAGAAGGTGCCAGAATAGCTTCAAGCTTTGGAGAAGCAATTGCTCACTGTAGACCAGGGAGGCGGCCCCTAACATCCCTCCCCGGTGCCCACGGCTCCTCCGCTCTGCGTGTCACAGTCCCTGGGGCGCCTCAGATCTTAGTCACGTAGTTGTTGGGGAACAGGCCCTGTTTGCCCCGTAATCGACCCGTCCACCAGCCAGAAGGATCTGCAAGAGAGAGAGAGAGAGATGTGAAGGCTGAAAGCTTGCTATTCTCCTTTTGTTTCCTTTTAAGAAGGTTTTAACCTCTTTTCCCAGCAGAGGGAGGAAAGGACCAGTGGCCCAGACTGGGGGACTCTGCCAGCTGTAATCACTTTAGGCTCTTAAGTGTACATTCCTACAAGCAAGCAATGGAGACATCATTGCCTTCTGTATATTGATGACAGCATGCTGTGTGTCCTGCACTGTTCGTAATGTTCATTCTTTAAAAACCTTTTATAGCTTCTTGACCTTTTGTCCTGTTGACTGGGGCTTCTACTGAATGTGCCTTATGAGTTGCAGATATTAATATTTAATAACTGATGTTTGGATATTTAATAGTTGAACCAGTGGAGTTAGTTTATAGCTTCTTGGTTTTACACCATTTTTGGTCATCTTTTTTCACACTGGAGTCCCTGGGCCTCTGGAGAGGAAGGTCCTTGCTCCTGCGCAGTCCAGCTCTGGCTGTGGTAGCCATTTGAGGAGTAAACCTGCCAGCGATAGAATGAGCATGACAGAGTAAGATAATCTATTTTTCCTTCTCACTGTCACGTTCTTTTTCTCACTCTCATTCTCTTTCCATCTCTCTCTAACTCTGCTTTTCAATTTATTTTTAAGATTTGTTTTTATTGCAAAGTCAGATATACAGACAGGAGGAGAGACAGGAAGATCTTCCCTCCGATGATTCACTCCCCAAGTGACTACAACGGCTGGAGCTGTACCAACCTGAAGCCAGGACCCAGGAAACTCCTCCAGGTCTCCCATACAGGTGCAAGGTCCCAAGGCTTTGGGCTGTCCTCAACTGCTTTCTCGGGCCCCAAGCAGGAAGCTGGATGGGAAGTGGAGCTGCCGGGATTAGAACCAGCACCCATATGGGATCCCTGCGCGTTCAAGGTGAGGACTTTAGCCACTCGGCCACTACACTGGGCCCTGCTTTTCAAATTTAAAAACAAAAGTTCTGCCATACCTAATACTTAGACCTATCTAATTATTTTCCTATGCTGGGTCTATCTTGGAAGTAGGAGTAAAAAATTAATCACAAGTAAGTCATGCTGATGGGGGATTAATAATTCTGAGACGGGCACCGGGGCCCAGCAGAGGTGCAGGTGCAAGCTCCGGCGCCTCTGCTTCAGAGCCAGCTCCTGTCACTGCACACCAGGGAAGTGGCAGGGGAAGGCTCAGGGCTGTGACCCCTGCCTCCCACAGGCACGGCTGCAAGGAGCTGGGGCTCTTGGCTCCAGCCCGGCCGAGGCCTAGCTGTTACGGCCTTTTGGGGGAGCGAAGAGATGGGTAGACTATCCCACTGTTTCCTCCAGCCCTGCAACCTCTCTGTCTTTAAGGACACGAAAGTAAAAATGCGTTAAAACAATTTCTACTATTTTCTCTGCAAAATGCAGCTTTGTAAATAAAAAGGAGGGAAGACATCTATTTTTCTGTCTTGTCACATATGTTACAGTCCATTCTTAACTATAGTAACAAAATCCACATAGTTCTGAAAACCAGAAGCCTTCTGTACCTCACCTGGTTGCAGAACTTGATGCCCTACCTAGGCATGTTCCCAGGCAGTCTTCTCCCTGCATGGGCACGCTCCACGTCTCCCAGCCCGGTGACTCCCACCTGGTCTTGCCCCAGGACTCACAAGGGCCACTACACAGTGCATCATCTATACTGGGGGCGACCACAGGGTGTGTGGGATTTCCCACAAATATCTTGAACCCCTCATACCTTGCATGAGCTTGCACGAGCTCTGGGGTCTGGCTGAGGGCCTGTGGCCTGTCTGCCACCGAGCGTTGCTGGTGTCTCAGGTCCAGTGTTTTGCATCTAGCTTGTCTGTGAGGCTGTGGACCAAGGCTTCAGCTTCTGTCCACTTTCTGCTGCTCTATGTCACCAGAAGGTCTTCCTTAAGTAGTCTGACATTGAACCCTGGATAGTTTGTTTCACGTCTTGCATAGGACCAGCTTTCCTCATGCAAACATTTATATACTCTTCTAGGTTTCCTGCCAGGACTTGTATAGTTTATTTTTTTTTTAATTTAAATTCATTTATGTTGTCTGTGGTAGAAATCTACTTTGGTTTTAAGATGGAATGTCACTGCCCTTTCCTCTGTGGTGTGAAGTGCCCCGGCTACTACCTGCTAACTGCCTGTAGGCGGGGGGTTCTGGACTATTACCCCTTTGTCTCGAAGCACTCCTGCCACACTGCCCGTTAGGGCGGCAGCTGGTGACTCCCAGCACGGTACGTCTTCGCCACAATACATGACTGAATGATACTCCACTATGTTATTTCTAGAAACATTTTGAAAATCTTGAGCAATGAAAAGCAATATTTATAAATTTTTAATAAGACCACTTTTGACGTTTTCTATACACATACATATATAGCTAAACATGGTTTAAAAAAATTGAGCCTAGTACCTACTGGTATAACCTAACTTCACTTTTTCTTATGAGCATTTTTCATGCCAGTATGTTACAAGTTAATCTTGAATAAAGCCTCAGCCCTCAATGCATAGAGACAGGCTTCCTTAAATTAGTCCCTTATTTTACTGGATATTTTTGATGAACAAAGCTGGTGATAAAATTCCTGTTTGTGTTTACTAGGAGCTTCTTTGGTCCAGGGACTGAGGAAGCACACACAACAAGGAACTGTTGAAACACATGATTCCTGGACCTGCCCTGGCCACCTGGAGCCTGCTGGGCACTCAGGCACTCCCCACTGGCTTCCAGATCCTCAAGACAGGGCCACCCGGGCAGAGATAGCACCCTCTCACCCCCCATGACATCTCTCTGTAGAGTCTGTACCAGGGTCAGGGCTTAGCTCATCTTCCTAAAACAATCTGCTCTTTCTAGTTTCTATGGCTTCATGTTCGGAGTGCTTACCACAATGCCCTTTCTTAGTAGCAATTGTTATAACACCCAGTTAGCAGCTCTCTTTCTGTGTCCATACACGCTTATGATGGATCTCATTAGGCATTCAGCCAAGCCTCTAACAGATTCTGCTTCCCTGGCTTGCTTTCATCTACTTCTGTTTATCTGAGGGGAATGGAATCGAGGGGCTGGGGAGTCGATCTCCCATCCACTGGGTCACCTGGGTCAGGCTGATGTGAGGAAGCAAGGACCTTCCCCCATGAGCCATCTCCTTCCGCCCTGGGCACACTCCAGCAGGAAACTGGAACCCAGGCATTGGCATAAGGTGAGGGCGCCCCGAGAGGCGCCTGCCACTTACTTCCACGCTGAAGAACTGCAGAGTGGGTGGGTCAGACAGACCTCCTCCTGTTTTACAGGCACTGTCACCCACACTGGGCATGGGGGTGGTACAGGGATGGATGGGCACACAGCTAATTTGGCCCAATTAGAGTGGAATTTAAGACTGTTGATTGATGGCTAAAGTTTCAGAGTCAAGGCAAACTTTAAACATGCTTTGATGTGCTGACCTAGAAGCTCTTGTCATTTTGCTGCCATGAATAAAAGTGGTTAGAAAAGGGACTCCTATAAAGAGGCAGTGCTGTAAGAAGCACAGAAAGGCCAAGTGGGGTCTGCACGAAGGAGCCTGAAGCTCCGCCAGCGTCAGCCAGAGGAGCGCCCACAGCCCCTTCTCGGGTGGCATCCAGAACAGCACGAACACCTGGGCTTGAGGAAGCTGCCTCGGCCAGTCGGCCGTGCACTTACCTTCCTTGATGATGTCGATGATGTCATTGGCATTGAAGCTGAGTTCATCTGTGTCCTGCGCGTCATAGGCATACAAGGCCTTGCACTGTGGCACCTGAGGCTTGGGCTTGGGCTGGGGCTTGGGTCTGCCCCCCGCCGGGGGAGGCCGGCTGCTCGTCTGCCTCCGGACACTGCGGAGAAAAGGCAGGAGGAGGGGGCTGAGCGCCTGTGGGTGCGGGTGGCACCGGCGGCTGCTGTGCTGCAGTAGGAGCAGCAGCCCTGTCCGCCTCCCGTTCCACTAGCCTGCTCCCCGCAAGGATGCTATGTGGCCTGTTGTCACAGAGCTACACCAGCCACTGTCACCACTGTGCTTCTGGAAGGAAAGAACATGGGAGGGACACATCTACGCACAGGTGTGCAAAGCACATTTCTACATTTGAACAACCAACCAAAGGGCTATGTGTATATCCCCGCTTTCCTGACCCCGTCGGAGAACTTTCCTCAGTGCCCCAGACAGCCCCAGGCACGACTCACCTGCATCTGCTCCCAATTGCCCACTCCCCTGCCCGCATGTCACCAATTCCCGTGTTGCCCTTGGTGGTTTTATCTCCCAGGTAACTGTTTCTATGCAACATGGCCCGCCCCTCTCACTGTGGGCAGACACAGTGTGCCCCAGCACCTGCTCACCACCGTGCGGCCCTCCCCTGGTGCGCTGCTTCATACCACCCCGGTCCACAGGTGCAGTCCCTGGCGATGCTCATTTGGGGTGGTTCCAATTTTTACCATTATATAAAAAGGTTTCTGTGAAGATTCTTGTATAGGAACTCACCCACAGCAATTTCTCCATGTCGGCACTGCAGGCACTGGGCTTGGATGCCTGTTGTGTGTGTGCTGATGGGGCCTTCCCATGCGGTGTTCAGTAGCCCCCCTGGCCTCTACCCAACGGAGCCGTGACTGTGCCTGCCTCCCTTTTATAATCCACATTATGTCCAGCGCTGGATAGAACCCTAACCCAAGTTATTCTTGCCACATACCATGCTGCCTCAAGGTACCATTCACATGTTGGCTTAAAGGCACTTCACTGTGGCTGTTCCTATGCAGTGAGTTCTTGGAACTTTGAGGCAAACAAAAACCCCAGCACATGGAAATAGGAACATGTAAAACATTTCACTCCCACCCTGCTAAAGTACAGACCATTTGCTTACAAAGGATACTTAAGGTTTTTTCCAAAAAGGGGTAGGTTAGGTACTTAACGCAGCAGGACTGCAGGGTGGGTCTGGTCACGTCTGGAGGGAAGGTCCCAGTTCTGAGGCCATGCTCTTGGCAGGGGTGGTGGAGATGGGGGTGGCTGTGTCCATCCCACAATGTCCTGTATTCTTGGCTGACAGGACCCCATGTGGTTGATGCCCATGAACAAGCAGGATTCTGGGGAGCTGGCCGCGAGTGGGTGGACCCCATGTGGAAGGGAATACACCTGTAGGCTTATCGCCCCTGCCTCCACTGTTGTCTGTCCATAGAGGGCAGGCATCTATAGATGAGCAGCGTAACCTCATTCCCCACGTGCTGTCCACTGGAAATCCCCAGGCCCTGCTGAGGCAACTCTTGCTTCCAGAGAGCTGGCCAGGCAGCAGGCTTTTCATTAAGGGCACTGTGTGTCAGTAATTGGTTAGTGAGAGCCATTAGCCTGGATACCAGAAGTCACCCAATTGCTCAGCAACAGGGAATGGAGGGGGAGGGGTGGCCAGCAGAACACCCAGGGGAGGGCAGCCTGCAGGGGGCAGTACTCACAGTGGACATCTGGCTTCTTGTCCACCCACAGTGCAAACTGGGGAGACCCTTGCAGCCCCACAGTATTGGGCTTAGCTGCAAGCCTTGCCTGCTGAGGTTCCCCTGCAGGACAAGGAGGAAGGCCCAGGAGTTAAGACTGTCCTCACAGGGGCCAACAGGGAGTCCGGGCCCATGCTCTCTGCCCTGTCTGTGCCCCAATGGGACCACACCGTCACTGTGCTGCAGGCCACCCTGGGCTTTCCTGGCTTTCTCTGTGGAAGCTGCCAACCCCTGGCTGGGGTGGGATCCAAAGCCCACCCCTCAGACCCAGCAGGACACCACTGGCCAGTAGCGCCCCCTGCCGTTCAGAGGAAAACCAAAGGCAGCCAGCTGGGGCAGGAAGAACAAAGCACCATGCCTCTGCAGGCAGAGAAGCTGGTCTCACAATCTTAACACACTAAAGAACTATTAGAATACACAAGCTCAGCAAGATTATGACATATAAGCTCAACGTGAAGATTGGCCACATTTCCATGTACTAATAATGAACAGTCTGAAAATGAAATCCAGAGAAGGGCTTCACAGGAAATTTTAAAAAAATGAAATACTTGGGCTTGGTGCAGTAGCCTAGTGGCTAAAGTCCTCGCCTTGCACGCCCGGGGTCCCATACGGGGAGCCCTGCTTCCCATCCAGCTCCCTGCTTGTGGCCTGGGAAAGCAGTCGAGGACGGCCCAAAGCCTTGGGACCCTGCACTCGTGTGGGAGACCTGGCTTCGGATCGGTGCATTGGCCGTTGGCCACTTGGGGAGCGAATCAACAGACAGAAGATCTTCCTCTCTGTCTCTCCTCCTCTCTGTATATCTGACTTTCCAATAAAAATAAATCTCTTTAAAAAATGCAATATTTGAGAGCTGTGAGATAGATGGTCTTAACGGGGTCCTGAATTTTCTGGGAAGCCAAATGGCCCTTGATTTGCACCACAGATAAAATTGCTTACATTGAAAAAAAAAATGCAACACTTAGGAACAAGCTTAAGGAAGCAGGGCTAGCTTAACAAGCATGATTCTGTTCATCTGAAACATTCGGACAAAAAGCAGTTTTGCCTAGGGAGATGGCAGGGGAGTGGGGCTGAGTGGCAAGGAGAAGGAGGTATACTTTCAGAGGGATGGAGATACTGTTGAGTTAGGTTTTGGTGTGGGGTGCACAAGCAAGCCTAGGCCCACAGGAAGTGTACAGTTTACGTTGTGGTCTAAACTCCAGCTCACTAAAGCTGCTTGGAGAGGAAATGCCTATAGTTCAGGCAGGGTGGTCTTGCCAGTGTGCATGCCAGGCAGCTGCTGGCAGGGTCCTAGGAGCTGGGTCAGGCATGTACACAGCTCTCCAGGCATCAGAGGCCACTTCCTTGGGTGCAGATCAGGCCAATGGAAGTGCCAGCAGGAAGCTGGGTACCCAGGTGGACCCCATGGCAACCGCTGGCTTGATCGGTCCAGACCCTGGGCAGGGCGAGGCTGCAGACACTCCAAGGCACGTGACCCGTCGCCGCCTGGCTGACTCTCCCGGGATGCTGGCCCTTGTGCGGTCACCATTAGAGACCAGTGAGTGTCCCTCTCTGAGGTCTGAGAGGATGGTGGCATTGGCCCACGTCCTCTGTCAGATCACAAAAGCAAGAGGTGCTCTTACCATGAGAGACACTGAGGATCACCTGGCCGCCGGCACACTGACCCCACAGGAACCTGCACACCAGAACCAGCTCTCCCAGCACGCAGCAGCCATTTCCCAGGCCCCACAGCCTTGCGTGTGTGTCACTAGGTGGCGACCCTGCGCAGTCAGTAATGAGCAGCAATGAAGACATTCACGGGCCTGCCAGGCCTTGATTAATGAGGTCTTTCACACGCCAGGGGACCCCGGCTGGCAGCCCAGGCCGACGCACAAGAAGCCGCCACAGACGCCCTCCCCCACAGCAAGGGCGACCCCCACCCCCGGCTCAGTCCAGTGTGCCAGCGCTGTTAAAACCTCTAGCAGTGGCGAGTTGGCAGCTTAATATGGCCACGGTTAAAAAGTAAATCATGTCAGCTCACAGTGGAATAACTTACGATCAAACCAAAAGCAATAAATGCGCAATAAGTCGTCGGGGCGTGACTTTCAGTCTGTGCTCAGGAGCTGTGCCGTGAACTGCTCAGGTGGGGCGCAAACTCCACCCGCTGCAGTGCCAGCTGCGCCTTGGCTGGGAGCCTGCTGGGGGCCAGCGCAGCGGGACTGACCGAGAAACCGGCTTCCTGATTCCCAGAGTACCCAAGCTGCCCTCAAGACAGCTCACTCGGGCATCTTAGGAAGTGCCTCGGCAAGGTGTAGGCAGTTGCTCCAGAGGGTCAACACGCCAGTTCAGACACCAGTGTCCCAAATACCAGGCGTTTGGGTTCACTCTCTGGCCCCGCCTCCTGACCCCAGCTCTCTGCTAAGGCACATGTGTGGGACTAAGTAACTGCCTTCCTGCCACCCCCAGGAGGGAGTCGGGCTGTGCTTCCAGCTCCCAGCTTTAGCCCAGCCGTGGTCGGTTCAGGTGAGAACCAGCAGACGGAAGCCCCTTGCTCTGCCTCTCAAACAAAAATAAATGCGTGATGCACATTCGTAACACCCAAGACTTAATAATTTTGTTACCTCTGCTATTTTGCGACATATGCACTTTAAATATGCCTTAAACAGCCAAAAATTACACAGTAACTTCAAAGGCTGGTGCTGTGGCACAGTGAGCTGGGCCTGCAGTGCTGGCCTGAGTCCCGGCTGCTCTATTCCAATCCAGGTCATTCTGTGCAAGATGACCCGAGTGCCTGGGCCCTTGGCACCCACACAGGAGACTCAGATACAGCCCTGGGCTCCTGGCTTGCACTTGAATCAGTCCTGTTTGCTTACAGATTTGGAAAATAATCTAAAGGAATGAAGATTTCTCTCATTCTGCCTTCTAAGTAAATGAATGAATTAAAAAAAAGTATCTCAGTGGAATAACGGGGAACACAAAGCATTCCAGACTCGCGGGCTGGCATTGTGGTCCAGCAAGTTAAACCACAGCTTGCAATGCCAGCATCCCATTCACGCCCTGGCTGCTTTTTTCCAGGCCCTACTCCTGTGTCCAGGAAAGCAGAAGGTAGCCAGCAACGTCCTATATTAGCACGTGGGGAAGGCCAAGTCAGACTTGGTATCAAGTGTGCTGGGGGCAAGGGGTCTCGGCAACCTGAGGTGCCCCTTGCCCACAGAGCAGCCCATGCCACCTGCAGACCTCCAGGGCGCCCAGCGCTGCACTGGCCAGAGACTGACGTGCGCGAGCATGAAGCCACCGGGCCACAGAGCAGCAGAATTCCCCTGCAGACCAAAGTGGATGAGGAGCAGCGGCCAAGTGCCACACAGGAAGTTCCCCATCGCTTTGTGCTTTTAGCAAGCACACAAGGTCCTCACATACCCCTCCAGAGAGCCCTAAGGGAAGGGTTTGTAAATTATTACATTGGGTCCAGCACTAGCCTGGTGGCTAAAGTCCTTGCCTTACTTGTGTTGGGATCCCATATGGGCATTGGTTCATATCATGGCTGCTCCACTTCCCATCCAGCTCCCTGCTTGTGGCCTGGAAAAGCACTCAAGGACAGCCCAAGGCTTTAGGAACCTGTACCCACATGGGAGACCCAGAAGAAGCTCCTGGCTTCAGATTGGCTCAGCTCCAGCTTGAGGCCACTTGGGGAGTGAAAGAATTATTACATTATTGGAGCTGGCACAGTTGCCTAGTATGCTAATCCTCTGCCTGCAGTTCTGGTATCTCATATGGGCACCGGGTTGTGACTTGAGTGCTCCACTTGTAATCCAGCCTCCTGCTTATGGATGGGGAGGGCACCCACGTAGTAGAGCCAGAGAGGCACTTGGTTCCTGGCTTCGGATTGGCTCAGCTCTGGCTTTTGTAGCCATTTGGGAAGTAACTCAGCAGATGGAGTGTACCTCTCTGGCTCTCCTCCTCTCTGTAAATCTGCCTTTCCATTAAAAAGAAATAAATCTTAAAGAGGAAAGGGAGAAATCATTTTTGTTAAAAAATGATCGCTATTAACTCTGCCGTACAGGTGAGGGCACTGAGGTGGACATGAGGGGACAGGAGGTGGCAGCGCCGGGAAGCCACATGGCTGGGGCACTATCTGATGACTGAAGCCCAAAGCAAGGAGCCAGTTACTTGAGCCCCATCCCCAGGCCTGCGACTGCGCAACCCATGTACCCTAGGTTCACATGCCCGCCTCTCTGCCACCTTCCCTGCCATTCCTACACCCTCCCGGGTGGGTGCACCTAGCCAAGGCCCTGCCCCGGGATTAAGCTTTTCAGTATCACCTCTTTGTTCTGCAGATGTGAAATTTATGTCTTGAAATTCCAGGAAGGAAAATAATGGCATTTTATTTCATTGGCTTAAAAATTTTTTTTTTTCTTTCTGCTCCAAAAAACGGCTGAATCTATAAACATTACTGGAAACATGGGAACGGTTGCCAGGACTTCCTAGGCTCCATGTCTGCCCAGCCAGGATATGGCAGCTGCTCCTGTAGATTATGGGTGGAGAAATATTGCTATTGGACACTTGCTGGAAATTTTACGCCCCTTGAAAATATGACTCCATCAGGAGAGTCCTGACAGGAGACATGCAACTGTCCCTGTGTCTATCAGCACCCGCCACGGGGCCTGGCCGGAAGCCCTGCCACGGAACACTGGTGATGATTTTTTTCTTTTCCTCCAACTGGCTGGACCTCTGGAGTATCGAAGGCCCTGAGCTGTCCTCCCAGGAGCTGGGCCCGGGGGCTGAGAAGGGCGGCGGACAGCTCCAGCCTGGCTTCCCTAGCAGCTGCAGGGAGCCGCTGGCAGGTCCTGCGTATTTCGGTCCTGGAGCACACTGAACCCGTGCAGGACGATGGATGGACCCGCTTGTCTGACTCTTGTCTGGAAAAGATCTTCAACTTGAATCCACTTTTTAAAAGTGGATTTTAAAAAGATTTTTGTTAAGTTTGATCTGTTTGGCATATTTATTTTTGTCTACTTGAAAAGCAGAGCAACACAGAGAGAGATATTGAGAGATCTTTCATCTACTGATTCACTCTGCGAATGCCCCAACAGCCAGCATTTCACCAAGCCAAAGCCAAGAGCCTGGAATTCACTGTGAGTCTCCCAGGACGGGCAGGTACCCAAGCACTTTTGCCATAAGCCACCATCTCCCAGGATGCGTTGGCGGGAAGCCAGATCACTGGTGGAGGAGCCAGGAATTGAAATGGCACAAGGTTGAAGGAGACGAAGCCACTGGACCACGGGGCCTGTCCTTGAATCAGGCTTTGCCAAAGCAAAAAGCTCATGATTTCCTCTCAGTGTTTCTTGGAGAATGATAATAATGAGGATCATATTAAGCTACCATGAACACAAACATTGCAAGGCCAAGGTGAAGAACCCAGTCGGGATGGTAATTAACTTATTGAAGGGTGCACAATCTCTCTCCAAAAATAACCAACTGGCAAAGACTCCTGAATTAACTGAAGGTGCTAATTACACCATTTGATTTTATCCACTTTGCATATTCCAAAAAAATGATTGCTGAATTTAATTATATCTGTAAGGAGAAAGTACAATGAGGGATGGGAGGGAGACAGGAAAGCTAAACCTTGGATATGAAAGCCCAAGGAGAAAGATGGGCCTATGGTAATCTTAGATTTTTTTGGATGGGTAAGTTCAAGTTCACTGCGTAGAACTGTATGTACAGGGGCGTCTCCTTGTCTGTGGAAAAGGGATTAACTTAGGATTCCAAAATGCTCTGCATGCTCCAACCACCTTCTGTGGAATACACGTGACTCACGCTTTCTCACCAAAGGGAAGATGTTAATGACAAGGCTCCCAAAAGGTCAGCCCCAAGATCAAGGTCCATATTATAAACTGAATCTTCACCTTCATATCTTTGAGAATATAAATGCTAAGCAAAAGCTCAGTTCTTTTGGAGAAATCCTTTTTTAAAAATTACATTTATTTGAAAGAGACAAAGGAGATCTCCCATGTTCAGACTTACTCCCCAAAGGCCTGCAAGAGCCGGGGCTGGATCAGGCCGATGCCAAGAGGATGGATTTCAATCTGGAGCTTCCCAGTGGGGGGCAGGAACCCAAGGACTTGAGGCATCACGTGGTTGCCTCTCAGCATGTGCATCAGCAGGAAAATGGAGTTAGGAAGGGAGCAGGGACTTGAACCAGGCTCTCGGACGTGGGATGCATTCATCCCAAATAGCCGTTTTACTGCTCTGCCAGTGCCTGCCCTAAGGTCACAGCTTCTTAAGGCATGTCCGCACAGCCAACTTTAGTGTGAACAGAGCAGGCTCATGAGATGTTTGGAACATACTGAGCTTGATGTTCCTGCTGAGACAGGAAAACCTTAGTGCCTGGTGCATGGTGGACCTGCTCTCTCCTTCCAGATCCTATAGCCAGACTCCACAATAACAGCCTGCAAATCTGAAGGCAGCAAAGGACAGAAGACTTAACTGGAACCACACAGCCGAAGGCTGGAAGGGAGCAGCCCGGCGATGACACAATGTTCCTAAGTTGTCCGCTGTTGGCTGACAGATGCTCCTAGGTTGGCTGATGTGCAAGTGTGTAAGTTGCAAAGTGGGCTGGAAAGCTTTCTATGCTTGCCAAAACTGAACCAAGTCGGAAACTAGCAGACACACTAAGAGAGCTGGTGCATTTTGTTGATTTCTTTTAATCCTCGCTTTGCTTCAGTATACTGAGCTGCACCCAGGAGCAACCACATGGTTATTTCTGGGATGTTCCTATTTCTCAAAAAAGTGGTTTCGGGTTACGGTGAAAATCTTGGGGCCAGTGCTGTGGCACACAGGCTAAGCTCCTTCCTGCAGTGCTAGCTCACATGTGGATGCTGGTTTGAGTCCAGACTACTCCACTTCTGATCCAGTTCCCTGCGAAGTCACCTGGGAAAGTGACATAGGACAGCCTGTGTGTTTGTGGGCCTCCACACTCACATGGGAGACCCAGAAGAAGCTCCTGCGTGGCCCAGCAGAGACAAAATACCTCTCTTTGTCTCTCCCTCTCTCTCTCTGTAACTCTGTCTTACAAATAAACTAAATCTTAAAAAAAAAAGCAAGAAAACTCCATCACTTCAACAACATCATTCCAGTCCACCTTTATGTGGGCCCTTCCCTGGTCTTGTCAAACAGGTACCCTTAGACAATGCGGTCCCTGCCCCAGCAGCAGCAGCAGCAGCAGCAGCAGCAGCCTCACCTGGGAGTTTGATAGAAACATAAGTCTGAGGCACCAACCTTCTCAATCCAAAGCTCTGGCAGCGGACCGGTAAGCTCGGCGGGTGACTGGTGTAGACCAGAGTGAGAACTACTGCCTTACTTCAAGCCAGTCAGGTAAGCCATGGCCCACATGGCTGGTGGCCTATAGTCCAGTGTGGGTGGAAAAAAAACAGGACAAGAGAGAGCTCCCCAATAAAGTGTGCTGCCTAGGCAGGAACAACACGAGTCACTGGGGATGGGCTGCTGCTCACTGCAGGCCTGTTTGCACACAAGTCTCTACCCTTTTTTGAAACTTCCTCATGGTTCCAGAGCATGGAAAGAGGGGAGCAAGCATGAGGAAAGGGCAGAGGTAGGGGAGTGGGCTGGTGCAGGCCCACTCCCAGGGTTGGTAGATGAAGCTGCTCCACCACCAGGGGTCACACAGAGCTGGAAGATTTCCTGGAAGCAGCAGGTGAACTGCCAGGAGATGACACGTGTATCAGCACCCCCACCCACTGCCGTCAAAGCACCCCCGTCTGAGTGGCCTCCCGCGGGCCTAGGACCATGCTAGGTCCTTCACGTCAGCCTGTCTAGTCCTCCCAATTTCCACGCTAACTTGATGGCACTGCGGCAGGAAGCAAGCTCAAGTTCACACGGGGTAAGCAGGCAGTCCATTCCCAGGTATGCAGCAGCAACTGTTAAAGCAACTCTCCTCCCCTTATCTGCCATTTGGTCACATCACACAACATTTCTGCCTACTTGGTCATTCCCATCTGCCATGAGCCCAAATCCCTCCAGTGACAAGGAGCCCTCTTCTGCTGACCCCAAGAAAAGCCTCCTCTGGAGAAGGGTATGAATATTGTGCTATCAACTTGTCTTCACCCCACGCCCAGGCCTGGAGTCCCGAGTGACAGCATATGGGTGGAAGATGGAACTTCAGAATCATGCATTGCAAGCCTAAAGAACCACAGCCCCCCCGCCCGCCCCAGGTCCTTGGCGCGTGTATGACAGACATGCAGCGAGCTCGCCGGCGGCACTCGCGGGACACGGGTCTCTTACCCTGCAGCTCCCTGGTCGGGAACCTTGAGGAAGTCCAGGCTCTCTGGCGCCTGGGACACTCGGTTGGAGCCGGTAGACTGCTGTCGTGGCAAGGATGGGCGGGGAATGGAGGAGTGCAGGCTTCTCTGGCTGGAACTCTGGCTGCTGGGAATGTGGGGCTGCGGCACAAACTGATTTTTGATAACTCCATTCTGGTGGTATCCTAGAGAGAGGAAAAGCAAGCTAAAATCTTCTCATCCCTTGTGAAAAGTTCTTCAAATTTCTTCCACCCTCAGAGTACTGGTCCAGAAGCACTGAACTTCTCTGGACTCATTTCTCCTGATAGAATCTGGGGGTTAGAGAAGCACATTCCCTTCCCCTTTCAGCCTGAGGTGTCACTGACAAACCAAGCTGCATATATTAAAGGTGTCCAATGTGACCGAGTTCCTAGCTGTCACCTGCCCAGGAAGTAGCCATAACACAGCAGGCATTCAGCACATGCTTGCTGAATCTCCAGATGATCAGAAATTCCAGGAAAGGTAAGTTGGTAGCTGGCTGGCTGGCACATACTTGTGTCTAACACAAATGATGTGGTTCTGACTCAGCAGCTTGGGCAGGCAGCTGTTTAAACAGCTGGACATCCATTGGCGAGGGGTCAGTCCCAGGTAACCTTGGCAGGAGCTGCTGTGTGAGGTGGAGTGAGTACTCCACCCACGCAAGGAAATGGGGCCCCTGGTTCGGATCTTTCCAGATGAAGCCAACCCTCTCTGCCTGAGAGCACTTCCAGTCCAGACTGCATCAGCCAGCAGGCAATGGGTCACGGTCACAGTCATGGGCCCCAACCCCAAGTTGGGGTTACAAAACAATGTTACTGTCACTGCAGGCTGTGAAGCAGCCCATGTCCCTTCTCCTAGTCCTGCGCCATGTGAACCAGAACAAGAACCTGCGAGGCCCATTTCTAACCAAGGCAGCAGCTTCAGTTGAGAAGCTTGGCTGCTAATGGGTAACATTGATCCCCAGTACGAAAGGCCATCTTCCAGTCAGGTTTCTTCCTTAAAGAACAAGGAGCCTGGGCTGGAGTGCACCTGGTCATTGCCAGCCCTGACAGGTATTGGGCCTGGTTCTGTATTGCAGTGATGGGTCCTGCCCTCCCAGGAATACCTTGTGGAGTGCAGAGAACAGCTCTTCATCTAGCTCTCACTCCTGCATTTCCTCCTATGGGGTCCGGGGGCCAGATCAGAACTGGACACCGGGGAGGAAAAAAAAAAAAGACCACTCCCCTTCATCTTCCCCTTGGGAGCTCCCACCCCCACCTGCTGCCAAGGGTACCAACAAAAGGAGGGGGCGTGTCTTGGTGCAGGGATGCCAGGTGTGGGGGCTAGCAGAGGGGCTGCCCCACACTCCTGTGTGAGCCCAGAAATCTAAAGGCAGCACCTTTGGGGCCTAATGTGCTGCTGCCGTGGGGGGAGTTGCTCTCTACAATGCCAACATCCCGTAGCTGAGTGCCTGAGCAAGCTCCAGCTGCTCCACTTCCCATCCAGCTCCCTGCCAATGCGCCACTGAAGGCAGCAGAGGACGCCCCAAGTACATGGACCTCTACCCTCCACGTGGGAGACTCTTGACTTCAGGCTCTTGGTTTCATCCTGGCACAGAACTGCCCATTGCAGTCATGTGGAGGGTGAACCAGCAGAGGGGAAGACTCCTCGTCTCTCCCTGTGCCTTTCAAATAACTAGATCTCAAAAGCCAAAGAATAGTTTAAAAACTTGGAGTAAGCATTTAGAAACAGTCATGCCAGCTGGACAGGTATATGGGATGTCTATTGACTCTAATAATAAGACTTTTGGTTTATATTTTGTATGCTTGCAAAAATCAGTCTGCTACTAATTCACTTTTATTGTATTTTTTTAAAAAGTTTCATCTTTTGAACTGGAAATGCTTCTCAAAACCTAGAAAGCAAAACAGAACGAAAATCTTGGACCTTCATGCTAGATGTTCTGAGAAGTGCTGATCCAGGGAATTCAGGCCCAGCGGCTTCACTTTACTAACGAACTGTCATTTCAAGAAGCCACGTTTGGACCTGGCATGATGGCTCAGCAGCTAAATCCTCGCCCCACATGCGCCAGGATCCCAAATGGACACCAGTTCATGTTCCAGCTGCTCCACTTCCCATCCAGCTCCCTGCTTGTGGCCTGGGAAAGCAGTCAAGGATGGCCCACACAGGGACCCTGCACCTGTGTGGGAGACTTGGAAGAAGAGGCTTGTGGCTCTGGAGCAACTCAGCTCTGACAGTTGTGGCTGAAGATCTTTCTGTCTCTCCTTCTCTCTGTAAATCTACCTTTCCAGTAAAAATAAATAAATCTTTAAAAACCAAAATAAGCAAGGAATAAGAACCTATGTTCAAGGTCAGATGCTCCGTGGCCTGACTGGGTCCCCCTGGCAGGGGGTTAACAAACTTTCCAGGAGGCCCTGGCTGAGGTTGTCCTGGGGCCAGTGCACAGAAATACAACACTGCCCTTGCAGCCTGGAGGACCCCTCATGCTTGGACAGAGGAGGAAGGGAGGAGAGCTGGCTGGGTGGGCCAGGCGGAGGCTGGAGATGCCGCCGGGTGCCCACGCCCGTGTCAGAACCCAACCCCGCACTCCTGGAGTGAGAGGCACGGGAGGCGGAGGCACACAGGATGGTCCAAGTCTAGTGGGGTCTTCCAAAGGACCCCTTCCGACCTAGATTCCTAAATGGACTAAATACCAAATACTTTGGGAACAGCTTTTGATAAACTGGATTTCATGAATGATAGGAAACGGGTGAATTTCTAAAATGCCATTCAAATATGAAAGATGTGGAGGGGGCATGCAGGCTTCTGTCTGTTCAGGGTTAGTGCTTATTAATCTGCAAGTTATTGTTTTATTTTTAGAAGAACGAGAGGTACAAAAACATAAAGGACACCCCCTACCCCCTACCAATCCCTTTTGTAGCAACATTGAAATTCCTTTCGGGAATTCCTTAAGTTTTAAAAAAGATTTATTTGTGTGAGAGGCAGAGAGGGGAGAGATAGATCTAGCTACTGGTTCACTCCTCTAACTTGCTACAGCAGCCAGTCTGGACTGTACTGTGGCCAGGAACACTACTCAGGTGCTTGGCCCATCAACCGCTGCCTACCCGGGCATGTTAGGAAGAAGCTGTATTGCAAACAGAGCAGCCAGGATTCCAATGAGCACTCTGACACAGGATACCGGCATGACAGGTCATGGCTTAACCCACTGCACCATGACACTGACCTCTGTTCCTTAATTTTGAGGACAGATCTTCCAGATTCAAGCTAAGAATCTAATTTTCTATCCATTCATTAAGCTGTTAACTAGTTACCAAATACCACTGGGTCCGACTGGAGCTGGAAAGAAGTGATGGGTTAGAAGTGACTAACTCCGTTTCTAAGGGTAACATAGCAGAATGCTGACACCCCAGCTGCTGGCACGGCATGGGTCTGCAGGAGGAGGACATGGGACATGGAACTCGCCCAGGGCTGGTTAAACACGCATCTCTATGCTAACAGGCTTCTTTCCACAGAATTTACACAGCCTCCAGGTCCCGACCGAGTGGTGTCAGTCCACGGCACACACGTGGCTTACCGGGGGGCGGCGGGGCCGCTCTCATGGGGTAGCTGGCATTGGCAGTGCCACTGGAATAACCTCTGTGCTGAATGGTATTCCTTCTGGTGGGACCTGAAATACACAGGCAAGACAAAGTTCCAGTCAGCCCTTAGGGTTCCCAGAGGGACCTACAGAGCAGGGACTGGGCAGAGGAGGAGGGGTACTGAAGTGCGGTTCTGGAAGCTACCGGGTGGGAGAGGTTGGGAGACACGGTGGCTTTTCCCAGACAGTTGGGACAGACAGCAGCTCTCCGTGCTTGTATTAGCACGCTGAGTACAGCCCAGCCGCCGAGCCAAGCGAGCTCCGTACAGCAGGGTCCCACAGCCCCATTCTTCCTGACCTGTACCCAGGGCTGCCCTTTGTGCAAGAGCTCGTGTCTGCCGTTGGCTCTTTAGACCCAAAGGCCACAAAGGTTAGAAGCAGACCTGCGCCCTGCACAGACACGGGGGACTCTGGGCACAGGCCGCGGCCAGAGGCAACATCACCGTGGGCCCGAGTCGGGGCTGGGAGGTGACGTCTGCAGGGACATCTCGGGTGGCAAAGAACAATACAAGGGTCTTGAGTGGGCTGGGAAGGAGGCTGGGATTCAGAGGGTGGAAGAGGGGTACAGAGGAAATCTCGGAGAAAGAGAAGAACTGATGAACAGAGGCAGGGAGGATGTGAAAACACAGGCACATCAAGCAAAGGCACCTCCAGAGACGGTGGGGAGGGGCTGCTCGGCGGGGCCGGGCCCAGGGGGAGAGCGAGGGGCCTGGGGACATGTGTGCTGGGGGGAGGCGGGAGAAGAGTCCTTTCAGGATCGAGGACATCCCCTTCGCCCAGTAAGGAGAGCGCAACACCTGTTAGGCCATGTTCCACTCTGTACCCCTGGGCACACGCACACACATCCACACGGACCCGACTGCTCATTTGCAGCCTCACTGTGCTCACTCTGCACCCCGAGGGCCGAGGCCTCTGCCCACCATGTGGGTTTGGCCAATGCCAGGCCCAGGCAGGCCTGGGTACAGGCCCTACCCTTTCCTCCTTCTCCTGCTGCTTGTGGTTTGAGGGTTCCCTGCGGACCCTCGCTGGTCCCCTTCCGCCCACCTTCTATTTCAAAGTGTCTCCAAACACTGCACTGAGATGTGGTGACACCACAAGTCCTGACCGACCCATAGACACCACTGTGTCCCGAGTGGGTAAATGACATCTGTCGGTAGCGTGGCCATGTAGGAGGGAGCACACTGATGCCCAGCTTTTTAATACAGGGCACCCTCTTCATTGAGGGGCTCCTTCTGGAAAGACACCTGCGGTGTATGAGCCCATAGCACATTGAATATTCTGTGCCACGCACCATAAACATCAGTTTATAAACAGCAACGCTTAACACAGGCGGGGGCTGGGCTTTGGGCCGGGCTTGTGTGCAGGACTGGGTCCCCTCCTGTTCTAACACAGCGCACTTCGGTGCAGGCGGAGAAGAAGCTATGTGCTTCGCCGCGCCGTGCAGAAAGCACACGGTGCGTGGGCAACGGTGTGCAGGTTCTAAGTAACTAACGGAGAGGAATCTATTTCCATCATGGATGAGATCTGACTGCAAGGTGCTGGCTGTCTGAAGGTACAGACTCAGCACTGTGAGACAGGTGTGTACTCTTCACAGGAACTAATCATCCAGCTGCACATTTCCCTCGGGAGGTCCCTTTGACCGGAAATACTCCTGATGAAATCCCTCGCCTCCCTCTACTAGAAACAACAGCGTGTCAACTGGGTCCCCAGGAGCTGGATCACAAGGGTGGGGTGTGGAGCAGCACCAGCGCCGGCCGGGCCCTGGAACACTTACGGGAGTTCTTGGGCAGCCCGGGTCCGATGCTGACCTGTAGCACCTTGTTACTGGGCTTGAGGATGGTCAGGTCGCCAAAGCCTTGGTGGAACTGCACCTGCCGAGAGCCACCAGCGCTCCAGGGGCCCCAGTTCTCCTTTTTCAACTTCACTTCAAGCCTGTAGCAGGTGCATGTGTCAGAATTAATGACCCCAGAAGAAAGTGGTGCTCATGTACCCCGGCATGGAGATGTGATTGGAAGAGGGCGAGCTAGACAACAGTGCCCCGCAGATGGGCAGAGCAGCCACAGGTGTGGCGCAGCTGGCAGGTGGCGGCAGATGCCTTGGCTGGCATCACTGTGCTTGCTGCATCTGAGAGATGCCGGGCACAAGACAGCTGAGGCCAGCTTGGCACAGGGCATGATCACAATGTAGTTTGTGATGACGCATCTTCCACCATCACTCCCCACACTCAGGAAGGGGACAAAAACATTAGCCCCCAGGATCCAAATAGAAGGGAGTTTTTCCCACAGTCCCCAAACTCCCTGGCCAGTTTGAAAATTCCCTCTGATCCTGCACTATGCCATCTACATTTGGTTTCTTAACCTTATATTCTCATGTTGCCAAAGCAGATTTGATAAGGAGCTGCCAATCTTAGAGCTTTCCTCTCCAAGATGCTGAGGCTGGAGATCTTGGCCTAGTTCTTCCAGGAAAGAAATGGAAGATATTCCCATCTTATGGACTGGGAATATGAGGTGGAAAAGCTCGAATCTGAGAGCAGAAACTCAACAGGATTGGGTATGTGGTGAGCTGAGACACGAGCAGCGGCCAGTACAGCCCTTGGTGCTGCTGTTCTGCCTCGCTCCCCTGCTCCCTGCCGGACCATCGGCTCTGCTAAGAGATTCTTCCGGGTTATTCAGTGAGATGCGCCTTTCCCTGCCTCGCTTGGCTGAGCTGCCTCTGAACGATGGAGCGCACTACTCTGTAAAGCTGTAATTTCATAGGCATCCAGGCTGTATTCCGGAGCTTCCAACATTCCACTGGGGAAACTGAGGCACCCAGGGCCGGGCTTGCTGGAGCCTCTGGAACTAAACTCTACATCCCACCCCACGCCCCCCCACATTTCCCCTGTTGCACCCCGGTGTCCACAGCGAGGCCGAGGCCCTCCAGGCTTGGGGCCCCAGTCCCTGACTTACGTGTTGCTGAACTTGAGAGGTAGTTGCTTCTGTGTCTTCTCCTCGTAGCGCTTCGCCAAGAGGCTTAGGAATTCAGTCTTGAAGACAGATTCAAGCAAACTGTCGTATTCTTGTTCATGCACGATGAAAATGTCATCCTGCATAGTGCTGCGGAGAGACCAGACAAGCGTCACATGTGCACTGCTTGCTTCGTTTTGCTGCTCATTGTAAGATCCTAAGCCAGTACTATAGGCTGCCTTAGCTGTCATCACCATAAGCGATCATCCTTAAAACAACACAACCAGAATGAATCCCATAATAAAATGGTTGCCACCTATCCTCCCTGGAAACCTATAGTTCACCCAAAGCATAACTGAATATTTCTCCCATATGATTTTTTAAAAAAATATTTACTGGAAAGGTAGATTTACAGAGAGACGAGACAGATCTTTTGTCTATTGGTTCACTTTCTAAATGGCCACAATGGCCGGAGTTAAGCTAATCCCAGAGCAGGAGCCAGGAGCTTCTTCCAGGTCTCCCACATGGGTGCAGGGTCCCAAGGCTTTGGGCTGTCCTCGACTGCTTTCCCAGGCCACAGGCAGGGAGCTGGATGGGAAGCAGGGACACAAACCGGCGCCCATATGGGATCTTGGCGATGCAAGGTAGAACGCGACCTACTGATTTTATCCAATCATTTGTATCGACTTCAGAGGGAGAGACAGAGAGGCAGACAGCGTGTCCATCTGCTGGCTCACTCCTCAGATGATCCCAGTGATTGGAACTGTGGGCCAGCATTGAAGCTGGGGGCCAGGGACTCAATCAAGGTCTCCCACGGGGGTGGCAGAAACCCCATCACTCGAGCCATGAACAAACCCGGGTGTTCTGAAGTTGGATATCGGTGTCTTCATCCATATCTTAACTCCTAGGCTGAAGGTCCACCTTGAGCTTGATCCATTTAAACTGACAAGATAGAACTGGGCCATCCCAACTCTGCTATGGTGTAGGTGTGTCCCTTTGACCTGCCCCCAGCCGAATCTTCATCGTCAACGTGATGGAATTAAAAGGCAGGGTTGGAAGGGGAGAGGCGCCGAGTGGGTGAGTATGTCACGACCCCGTGCAGAAGCGGCGCTGTGGGACTCTCTGACTCTTCTGCTCTGTGAAGCGATAACGTGGAATGTGCATCTGTTCCTTGATTTTAAAACTCCAGTCCCCAGAACTGTGAAGAGGTTTTGTAAGTCACCCTGTCCCGGGCGCCTTGTTATGGTGGCAGGAAAGCCTGTGACAACCCCTTGCTGTGATGCCTCTGCCCCACGGTCCCCCTACAGGAAAGGCGTCTGCTTATGGGCAGAGGAACCGAGACCTTGGGCAGGGGCACGGCGCAGCGGGACTTCAAGGGACACAGTGGCGGGACACAGGGCAGGACGGGACTGACTAGCAGACACCTGCATCTGTCGAAAGGGTGTGGTCCTCCCCACAGGGTCCATCTCAGAAGCACTGGTGTGCATTTCTGCCTGGATAGTGGCCATTATCTTAACTTCGACACTTTGTTTCCCAGCATCCATCTCTGTAGCACAACACAACAGATTGCACAAGAGCAGCTCAGAGCCCAAAGGCCCAGTCCACAGTGCCTGGAATGCAGGGACCGGCTTCTTCCCTTTAAAGGGATGACAGCAAGTTGTACAAGGCACTTACCCACACCCCACTGGCCAGAACTAAGCCACATGGTCATAGCTAGCTGCAAGGAGGTCTGGGGAATGTTGTCCTTGGCTAAGCTTAGGAAGAGAATGGGTGTCACAGGACAGCTTACGATTACACCTGTTTGCTCATAAACTCTTCCAGAACAAGGACTTGAAGAATCATTGACAAAAAGTTGGGAGTAAGGTGCCTCAGAGGCTGTGGCCACATAGTCGCCATCACCTTGTTTCCGGATAAATGAAGACTCCGCAATCATTAATCATTTTATGAAGAAGATAGATTAATCATAGTTTGCTATGATTAATCATTAATCATAGCAAACTAAAACTCTGCCCAGCGTGTTGCAAGAAGCTGTTTGCCGAAGCTCTCCGGAATCACCGCGAACCTGCGAAGTCCAGGGCGAAGGTCCTGGCCCTGATGCACAGCGGCCTCGGCGGGTGGGCGGGGCGTGCAGGGGCCGGCGCGGAGGCAAGCAGGAGGGCTGCTTCCGGGCAGGAGGAAGAGGACACGAGCTCCTGGCGCAGCGGCTTGACTCTGCGTACACCTGACACGCACGCAGCCAACTGTGACCCTTCAGGGGGGTGACATGAGCCCGAAGTAACCCAAGTGCTCACATCCACTGTACGTGGAGTCGTAGGATTTTCACTTCCACAAAGGAAAAAGCACACAGGCTAAAGCCTCAAGGTTCATCATCTGCCTGAATCTAGCAATGAGAAGGGATGTGTCTGGATACTCTGCCTTCCACCATCAAGTACCTCCTTCTAGCGCCCCGGGCAGGAGTGAGTTACACAGTCTCAGCCAGGCCAGGATTTCAGCTTGCCTCCCTTTCCCCAGCTTACGCTTATGCCTCTCGACTCAAATACAAAGCTTTTGGGCTTATTTACATTTTTTTAAAAAGGAAATATCGGACTTCTCTTTGGAATTCACCCGTCTTATTTTACATGCTCCTGCTGCAATTGCAATCTTTGCAGATGTCTGACACCATACCCTGTGTGGAAAAATCCTACATTCCCGTTTGGCTTCCCCCTCCCTCACCTCGTGGCTTACAGGACTGCTGACAACACTAGCAAACTGTGGCATTCCTGGACCAGGGTTATCTTCTTCATAAAGACGTTTGTTGCGAAACACCATCATGATGGAATTTACCCTTAAAGCTGAAAAGGCTAAGACCAAGGATGGTCCTGCTTATGTTGGAGCCTTCATCAGGAAGGTTTTCATTTTCCTAATTACAGAATGCATGCTCCCCTGAACCACGTGGAACGTGCAGAGGCGAGTACCGAAGAACATGGACCTTGCCCAGAATTCTATCACATGGCAGATTTGGCCACATCCCAGCGGCAGACCCTTCTGCGGCTCTTCCTAGAACCCCGGCTCCGATATGGGGGTCTGCGTGGAATTGCAGCTGGCAAGGCCTCCTCTCCTAGCTTGCACACCAGAAGAGCGGTGTCTATTGTTCCCTGATCACGTGCTTCCTCGTGTGTGCCCTGCCTCACCCTCCTCTGAACCGCAGGGCTCAACCTTACACGGGAGGCATTCAGTCCTAGAGTGATGACAGATCTCGCTTCCCAAAACCCACAGGGCACAGCAAGAACCTCTTCTCGCCCAAGGGATTCGAGCACTCAGGCAATGGAACTTGCCATGTAACACCTGACCTTTCCTTTAAGCACTCTCTCCCAGGTGACTTTATCCGTTGGTCCATCTCCCGCCCAGCCAGCTTGCACCTCACGGTGTAGGCCTGGTGGAGGTCAATGACTGGAATGAGGACTGCTACAAGTCCCACCAGAGCATGCAGACTAGCTGAGGGACCGACATGCCCATGCCACATGCACACTGGAGTGCCTGGGTTGGCTTGCAGGGACTCCAGCTTCTGATTTGAGCAAAGGAACATCCATCTCTGGAGGCGGCAGTGATGGCTCAAGCAACTGGGTCCCTGCTGCCGACAGGGGAGACCTGGCCTGGGTTCTGGTGCCCCTGCCTCTGGCCAAGGCACAGCCTAAGCTGCTGTAAGCATCTTGGGGAGCGAGTTGGCACAGGGGGAGCTCTCTGCACCTCTCTGCCTCTCAGATTTCTCAAAGACTCAACAGAGAGCGCCCTGAGCACCAATCTCACTGCCTACAGCAGGAAAGCCGAGAACATGGGTCAGTGCATCTGTGGGCACCTTGACAGCCAACTGTGGTTTTTTATTTTCTTCAGATTGATTTATTTTACTTGAAAGACACAATTACAGGCAGAGAGGGAGAGACACAGATTTTCCATTCACAGGTCACTCCCTCAGTGGCCACAATGGCTGCAGCTGGACTGGTCCCAAACCAGGAGCCAGGAACTATTTTTTCTCCCAGCTCTCCCATGTGAGTGGAGGGGCCCAAGGCCTTGGGGCAACTTATGCTGCCATCCCAAGGCCATTAGCAGGGAGCTGAAACAGAAGTGGACCAGTTAGCACCCACCTGCCAGCACTGCAGGCAGAAGGCTAGCTTGTTATTCCACTGTGCTGGCCCCACTAGCTGAGTTTTCAACTTAAAGAGCAAGGCCAGTTCAGGACTGGAACAAGAAAGACTTTAGGATCTTTCCCAAACTGCTGCATGGCTCTGCCAACACACACACACACACACACACACACACACACACACACACACACACACACACACACACACACACACACACACACACACACACACACACGTTCTAGAAACTCCACATCTCAATTCCACCTGACATGCTTCCTCCTGACATTCTGCCAAGTCTCCAATGAAGGTGTCAATATTTCCGTCTGATTTTTATGTAGATAGATTTTTCTTGCTCAAATGATCCTGGAGTCCCTCTGAGAGCCTAGCGTCCTCCTATCTTTCTGAGAAATTGGCTCTATTTCCACCTGTTATCATATTTTTTTTAATCTTGCAAATGAAAACCTTAAAAAAAAAACCTTCATCCAAAAGGCATAAAAAAGCTCATGTCCATGGAAGGATTAGAAAAATATTTTATTGGGACCGAGCATGGTAGCCTAGCAGCTAAAGTCCTCACCTTTCATGAGCCAGGATCCCATGTGGGTGTTGGTTCTAATCCCGGCAGCCCCACTTCCCATCCAGCTCCCTGCTTGTGGCCTGGGAAAGCAGTGGAGGACAGCTCAAAGCCTTGGGGCCCAGCAGCCACATGGGAGACCAGGAAGGGACTCCTGGTTCCTGGCTTTGGATCAGCTCAGCTCTAGCCATTGCAGCTGCTTGGGGAATGAATCACCAGATGAAAGATCTTCCTCTCTGTCTTTCCTCCTCTCTGTATATCTGACTTTCTAATGAAAATAAAATAAACCTTTAAAAAAAAAGAAAAATATTTTTTTAAGCAAATCCCAAATGCATAAAAATGCAGGATAGTAGAAAGCCCTGGGACATGGCAGCAGGTTTTAATGATATCCTGACAGTGGGAAACACATTAACCTGTGTCTTTCTTTAACATCCAAACTAGGTTCATTTAAAGGAAGCATAAATATGTTCTTTTTATCCTTAAATATTTCAGTGTGCATCATAAAATACAAAGTCTTTCAGATAAAAAATAGCCACGGTGTAGGCATGATGGGTACCTGACCCGGCCGAGATGCATGTGTCCTACACTGCTGGCCCTGGCTCTCGTCCCAGCTCTGCTCCCAGTTCTAGCTCCCAGTTAAGGCACAGAGACAGCAGGTGCCAGCTCAAGTACTTGAGTCCCCTGCAGGAGATGCAGGTTGACTTCTTGGTTCCTGGCGTTGACCCTGGCCCCGTCCTAGTTGCTAAGGGAGGAGGGAACCAGCAGACGGTAGTTTGCGCTCCCTCCCAGTCCTCCTCTCTGCCTCTCAAGCAATTAAAAAAAAATAGATGGTGTTATTATCACATCACAAGAAAGAAGCAATCTGGGCCTGGCGTGATAGTGTAGTGGTTAAAGTCCTCGCCTTGCACACGCCAGGATCCCATATGGGCACCAGTTCTAATCCCAGAAGCCCTGCTTCCCATCCAGTTCCCTGCATGTGGCCTGGGAAAGCAGTCGAGGACAGCCCAAAGCCTTGGGACCCTGTACCTGCATGGGAGACCTATAGGAAGAAGTTCCTGGATCCTGGCTTCGGATCAGCATAGCATCGGCTGTTGCAGTCACTTGGGGAGTGAACCATCAGATGGAAGATCTTTCTGACTCTCCTCTTCTCTGTATATCTGCCTTTCCAATAAAAATAAATAAATCTTTTTTTTTTAAAAAGCAATCTTTTGTAACAAATGTATTTAGTCATGCCCCCATTTCCCATATTTTCTCATAATGGCTTTCAGATGGTTAGTTGGTTAGACTGAGGAGCTGTAAATCCACTTGGCCTTGACATTAGTGATATGAGTTACATGTCAGGGCCTGCGCCATGGTGTAGCCGGCTAAGCCTCCATCTACAGTGCTGGAATCCCGTATGGGTGTTGGCAGGAGTCCCTGCTGCTCCACTTCTGATCCAGTTCTCCGCTCACAGCCTGGAAAGTCAGCAAAGGAGGGCCCAAGTGCTTGGGTCCCTGAACCCACAGGGGAGACGTACAAGAAGCTCCTGGCTCTTGGCTTTGTACTGGCCCAGCTCTTGCTGTGGCAGCTGTTTGGGAAGGGAAACAGTGAATGGAAGATCTCTGTTTCTCCTCTCCCTGTTGTAACTTTGTCTTTAAAACATAAACATTAAAAAAACAAGAGTTACACGTGAGCTCAAAGACGGGCGATGTGGGTTACTTTCACGGTCTTTCATTAAAGACTTCACAGGAGCCATCATTCCAGCCAACAGTCAAACAGTAAGTCTCACACATTTTTGAAGACACATACAAATGTGGCAATTTCTTTCCCCCTGAAGTACAACACATCTATTAACATCTTCCTCTGTGCCAGTGCTGGAGGAGTCTGGGGCGTATACCCACCCACCTGCTCATATGCACACACGCAGTTGGCAGGGTGGTGGCACCCTGGGTTTCTACTCTGGACTTTGATTCTGTACACATCATCACCCATTGCGCTGCTTTCCTGATTGGGTTTCTGATCTGGCTTAATCCAGCGTGTCAAGGACGTGAGGCAGCACATGAACTCTGGTTACTGTTGGCTGCACTGGGTGCCCTGACTGCAACACACAGGCATTCCAAGTTATAATGACTCAGTTTCTCTCCTCTGCTGAGGGCAAGAAAAACTTGCAGGCTAAATACATCACTTTTACCACATCCTCTAAAGAGGGGAGGTCACAAGAAAGCTAGCTTCCAGAACATGAACGCTCAGCAGGAAGCAGAAAGACAGCTCGCTCTGCCATGAGACATTGTGCCATGAGACATTGCCATGAGATCTCAGAGGTCAAGAAGGCAAAAGAAAGAAAGATATCAGAGTCCCCAGGCCGGGTGGGATGAGCCTCAGGGACCGGCTGAGCAGCACGGCAAGCCCTCGAATGCTGGACACGCATGCAGACGCAGCAGGGTGACGGGGTACCAGATCTGCAGGATCCCTCCTCCGGAGGGGTGCACATGTACCTGCTGGCAGGTGCTGGGCAGTCTGCCTGCATGGCACATCGCAGTGCCCGGGCTTAGACTCTGCTTCCAACTGTCTCCTTCCAACTCAGACCACGGCAGGCAGCGGTGGTGGCCCGAGCAGTTGGGAGACCTGGACTGTGTCCCTGGTTCCCAACTTTGGCTGAGAGCGAACCTTGGATACTGAGGTACTCGTCATGCATGGAACTTCTTCGACTCTCAAAGAAAAAAGAAAATTACCCTCAGATTCAGGGCTTCTTGTGCCCTAGAACTAGTATTCCCTGGCTTTTAGCCATGGCAACTGTCAAGTACCCACTGTATTTTTCAGCTCATCCAGCTTAGCCAAGGCCCAGAAGCTTATCATGCAAGAGGGTGGAAAAAAAGAAAAAACAAAAAATGCTTCTGGTTGTGTTATCTGCAACTCCAAGGGCAGCCTTGGGCCCAGCCAGTAGTGTGGCCAGCAGGCTGGGACTCGGCCCACCAGCAGGATGTGCAGGAAGACCTTCAAGAATCCAGAGGACTGCACAGCGCCGCCTGCTGGCCCTGGAAGCCCACGGCACAGCGTCTACCAACAGAGGCTGCAGAAAGGATCCTGGGTGACATGGAGACATTTTCCCACGTCCTGGCTTGGCATGTTTTGCACACTTCACCTCCCAGCACCGCCTGGCCTTTTATCCGGGAAAATTAGGAACAGACAGAATCAGAAACCACAGAGACGCAGGCGAAAAACATAAAGTGCAAGCCTGCTTTGGATTATCACGCTGGAGCCGGGAGGATAGATGTGCATGGCAAAGCCCAGCGTTGCCCAAGTGCAACACTCTCTCCTGTGGGGAGTGAGAGCTGACAGCAGTGTCCCAGTTCCAGCAAAAACATCCCTGCTTCCACGCAAAGGCAATCCGAAACTTCCCTCTAGCACAAGCACTGTTAGTCTCACAAGGGCCCAGAAACACGAGCCAAGGAGGAAGCTGCTACTACTGGGCTCACTGGGCCTTTTGTCCTCTTTTCTGAGTGTCCCTTGGACCTGGAAAAGGCTCAGCCAGCAGAGAGGCCTGAGTGCAGCAGTTCCTAGCATGGAAGGACATGGAGAAGCCTTCCCCTCTGTGCAAAGAAAGCCAGACCACCTTACGCTACCACTTGTAGAAACAAGCAACATCTCCACCTGCCTGTGAACTTGGAGCTGGAGCAAGTATGCAGCCATGACTCAGGAACTACAGATGATGGAGACAAAGTTATCTACCCTCTAACAGTCCAAGGACCACTCAGAGAAACTTCCCTTCCCAGACACCTTTGCTTGGCCCGGGCCACTAAAGCATGTTTGGTTTTGAGACTGGAAGAGGCAGGCCGGGGGACAGGGCTCTTATGCCCTGGTGTGATGTGTCTAGTAGGTTTGTTGCTAAGCCTGTGTGAGCAGCTTGGGTGGAGGTGCTGGGAAGACAAGGGGACACTGCCCAGGCCTCTGCTGCACTCACCTGAGGGACACGGACAGGATCCTCTCCACCTCTATCCTCCGTTTCAGCACTTCCTTCACCTGGCCTTTGTCGGGGCCCTGCTTGATCTTCTCCCTCCCGATCAGGTACAGGCACTTTGGGGTAAGCAGCAGGTCTCGCTTTACACCCTGTGACGAGAGGGGCTTTCAGAAGGAGGGTCGACACCCGGAGGCAAGGACTGTCTCTGTGAAGGACCACCGCCTCGGGTTGGGACACGGGGACCTTCTATGTGATGGGCCACCACGAGAGCTTTGCTAAAGACCATCTACCAGGGCACCTCCAAGTTGATGGGAAATACAAAATTTATATTGGTGCCAACTGGTTTGAAAGCCACACAGTTTTTCCCAATATGCACTGAGAATATCCCTGCGCATGGATTTCATGCTTTAACCTCATTACAGTCTTTAACTCTGGATTTCCTGGGAGACCTGGGCACCCACATTTGCGACCAAAGTTACCACTGGCGCCAGTTCCAGCCACAAGAAATAACCTGGTTTTAGCAAGACAGCATCGCTCCTCTTGCTGAATGACCACTGACTTTGTTACCCTTCCCTGACAGAACGACAGCAACAAAACTAAAATGCCTGGTGGGTCTGCCACCATTGGAGACTTCAGATCTCCCTGTTAGGGTTCTGATCTTATCAGGGAAAAGGCAGGCAGAGGGAAGGCCTTCAGGGATTCCTGCATGGCTCCCAGAAGAACCAAACTCACAGCCATTCACGCTGCCACCTTGCTTTATGACCTCAATTCGCTGACCAACAACTCCGCTTTGGCAACCTATTCTGACAACAGGAAGACAAAGGCATATGCAGTGGGTGAAAAGACGCCGAGTGCCATGATGATGTGAAACAAAAAAAGAGACCCCCTTGGTATTAACGGGAAATCGGTTTAAAAAAGCAGCATTCACTGACGCATGCTGTGCAATTACACAAAAGCGTTCGTAGCAACGCAGCAGTTCTCCCGGCACACAAAGGAACTTCAAGGAGCTTCTGGGAAACTAGAATTAAAAGATTTTGTTGCAAGAAGCAGTGTGTAGTTTTTTTATAATCTGTGTTTTCCATGAATTTTTTTGCAAATCTCCTTTGGCTTTCTAAAGGAAAACCAAACCCACTGCACAAAATCAGCCCGCAATACCTCTCACCTCTCGTAAAATAATTACGCAAGTTTATGTTTGCATAAAAAAGCTCTGGGGAGGACACACAAAATGTTAATGGTGATTATTGCTGGGCATCCCCGCCTGTTGTTCTGTATCTCAATTTTTCCACAATGACCCTCTTTTGTCTAAAACAAGGACAGCAAAACTGCTAGTTGTTGAGACAGTAAGGAATTCTTGTCGCCCGAGGTGGGTGGTCAGCGCGTACCTTGAACCTCCTGTCGTACTTGGTGACTGTATCCGCGAAATCGATTTTCTCCCTCTTGCCCACAAACTGCTGGAGTTCTGGGTGCTCCTCCATCCCAATGTAATCCCCAATGAAATTCCTATTGATGCTATTTCTCCTCCTCTCCTTCTTGTTCAACAAGAGGTCTGAGGCTGCAGATTCCAAGAGCACGGAGAAGGAAAATCAGAAAAAGGAGTCCAGATTCTTAGTGCGGAAATACACAGACCCGTGACATCACATGCTAAAGAAAAATAGTGCTTGTAACTTGAAGCTCAGACTGACTTTTTTTTAAATAAAAGTACTTGAAAGGAAAAGCTATAGAATGACACAGAGAGAGCAAGCGAGCTCCCATTTACTGGTTCGTTCCCTGAAAGGCTCATAGCAGGCAGAAGTGGGCCAGGACCCCATTCAGATGCCTCCCATGGGTGGCAGGGATCCAAGGACTGGAGCCACCATTGCTGCCTTGTGGGGTTTGCTTTGGCAGCAGGCTGGAGTCAGACACCAGAGGTGGGAATAGAGAGCTCAGGAACTGTCTCGTGTGATGTCAGGGGTTCTCAACAGGCATACAAAACTTAACTCCCAAAAATGTGTTAGATGAATGAACCAAAAGAGCGAAAATACCTTCTTCTCTCATCTGCACATACTTCTTCCGGGCGACAAATTTCCTCCATGATTTCTGGATCACTCGGGCATACCCATCATACTTTCTCTCTCTCATCTCTTCTAGAAGAAATAGCTGTGAAGGCAGAGAGGAGCAACGTGAACCAGCCTGTGAGACCCAAGCGCCGTTCCGGCTGCAGGTATTTCCAGGATGCCCGGCTGACTGACGACACAGCAGGCAGCACCCTCGCCAGCTCCTGCTGCCCAGTGACGGGACCACTGGGGCACACTGCTGGTGACTGAAGCCTTGCCACGCATTTATTTTTGCTTTGCATGAAAACCCATGGGAAAGAGTTGCACCCGAGGGCTGGGCCATCATATTGGTAGCTGCCCCACCTTGGTCTTGGAGTCTGTGACAACCAGGCGGGGGACTGGACGTGTAGGCTATGTTCTTTCCCCCACCTCGGGATTCAAAGAGGAAATTGAGGGCTGCACCAAGGCTGCCGTTTCGTCCTGCAGACAGCCTCTTCTTAAGAATTTTCCAGGTTTTGGGCCCGGCACGGTGGCGCAAGTGGTTAAAAGGTCCTCGCCTTGCATGCCCGGGATCCCATATGGGCGCCAGTTCTAATCCCGGCAGCCCCGCTTCCCTTCCAGCTCCCTGCCTGTGGCCTGGGAAAGCAGTCAAGGACGGCCCAAAGCTTTGGGAACCTGCACCCACGTGGGAGACCCGGAAGAGGCTTCTGGCTTCGGATCGGCATAGTATCGGCCCATTGCGCTCACTTGGGGAGTGAATCATCGGACGGAAGATCTTCCTCTCTGTCTCTCCTCTCTGTATATCCGCCTTTCCAATGAAAAAATAATAAAAATAAATCTTTAAAAAAAAAAAAAGAATTTTCCAGGTTTCTGCAGGAGCAGAGCTGGTGCTGCCCTACTTACAGTTCCACAGAAGCCTAGACTTGCTGCCTCACAGGATCCTGCAAGCAATCACTGGAGCAAAGGATGGTAACCAATGATGGGGCTGGGACCGCTCAGGGCCCAGAGTCCATCCAGGCCCATTCCACCAGACCGTGCAATAATGAAGATGACAGTTAATTGTCCCCACAATAGGTCAAGACTGATCCTGGGTGCGTGGAGTGTGTCATTTCAACATCTCAATTATGACATGAGTCGTATTTTTCTGCTACCTGTATTTTTACACATGAGAATACTGGAACTAGGATTAAGCGGGGCTGGACAGTGAACCAGGGTTGTTCTGGTTCTGCGGGGCCCCTCTTTGTTGTCACACACTGGTCCAAGTCTTTTTCTGTCATTATGTCTCTGATCAGTTCCTAAAATGGTGAGAAACTTTCTCATCCACAACGGAAGCAAGTTAAGCAAAGATGAGCCATCATTGCAAAAATACTTCAGAAGTAGACAATGAGTTTTGGTTTGAAGGCAGCTGGGCTTAATTTGTTGTCTGTTTACCCGGGTTTGTACTTACTAAAAGTCACACTTATCTGTTCCTGTCACCCAACCTCTCCGCCCATTCTCAGCCCCAGTTGGGTGGAAAGAGCATGGCAAACTCCAAGAACCAAGCTGGGGCCCACTTAGTTCTCCACCCCGGGTGCCCCAGAGAGCAGGCAAACCCCGCACCAGGAATGGGGTTTAGTAACTGGACGCAATGCTTTAAGTCAGAGCGCTACAGGTGCCTGTTGTAAGAATCCTGGCTGGTGTTTCTGATCTTAGCAGTTTCTGAGTAACTTTTGCTTCCTTTTTCTTTCTCAGAATTATTTTGGGAGTGCTGGAGAAAATGCACTTGTGACTCAGAGCAAGGGCGAAGGGGTAAATTCCCAACTTCCTATAGATGAAATCAGTGATGGTCTGAGTTTGAGAACTCTTTCAAAGGGCGCTGGGGGTTGGAGATGAGTGAAGATCAAGGAAAAGGAGTGCAAAAACCAAAGTGTATGGCTACGTGCAATAAGCAAAGAAATCAACCCAAAATGAAAACCAGTCCTTTGGAGTCTAATGCCTGTGGTGGACTCTGGAAGCAGATAGGTTATTCTGCATCTTAGAATGCAAGCGAAATCACAAGGCAGATTAAAAAAAACTTTAGTAGAAGTATTTGCATGTCCAGACTAGCTAGGGCCAGATGAGGCGGCCGGGGAGAGAGTGGAGATGACGGGGCGTGCGTGCACATAGCGGTGTGTGTGGGCACAGGTGTGCATGGGCACAGGTATGTGTATGTGAAGAAATATGGGGAATGGTCAGTCAGGTGATGCTCATCAAATAATTGGGAAGAACAGTATGAGAAACACCAAAAATAAATCTTTACTTTATATGTACACCTCCAAAGCTCAACTGAAGGAAGAGAAAAATGTACTGAAAATATGGCAGCTATCTGAATTCTACATGAACACTCAGCCAGTGGACAAGCAGGAGCAGGTTGCAGGTGACACAGGGAGCGTGGCGTCGTCCCATTTCAGAGGGAACAGGAACTGTTCTGTGGTTGCTTAATGGTGTATGACACAACATTCTCACTTCCTATTTGGAAACAAGATTGCTGGGAGACTACAAATAACTCAGTGTAAAATGCCACCACAAACTTTTCATAAACGGGTTCTATTGATGGGTGCCATTTATTTCTTTGGGTCCCCCAGGCCTCTTGGCTGCAGCCACAGGGGAGGCACAACTGCAGCTGTGGGGCCCAGGCTACAGAAGCAGGAAACAGAAAGCAGAACTTCCTTGAAGTCCAACGTTTCCGTTTCTACTAATATCATCATTTCCCATAAGATTTCCCCTTGGTCTGACAACCAATTTTGCCCAAGCTCACGACTAGCACTTCAAATGGAGTCTGGTGACAATCACGGGAACCTTAAGACTCCAGACCTCTCAGATAGGGTAACTTCCCCACCTTAGAAAAGGAGCAGCCGTCCCAGGGTCCAAGGGTAACTGGCATGACTGGGGGCCTCTATGGGGTTTCCACCACACACAAAAGTTCTTACGGATGTTGGTTAGGCTCACAGTATCTGCATCCTGACCAGGAGCGCTAGAGAAGCTCCTCTGCCATGCAGACATCTATCTTAGCTCGAGAACTACAAAGCACCCAGGCTGCAGGTGTCACTGGTAAGGATCTGTGTTCCATCAATGCAGATTCCACCTTCCTCTCAAAGTCCTTCCCAGACTCAGGGTCTTCAAGACTCACTTCTGGAAATTCCCACCCAGGGACCAGCTCCACCATCAGGGAGAGGGGATGAGAATGGGAGGTGGCTGAGCACTCACGGACTCCGGGGCCTTGATGAACACTTTGCTCCTCCCGAGCTGGAACTGGTCGCTGTCCATGTTGACCGACTGTAGCAGGTGCAACACGCCTTGCTTCTCATCGCCCCGCCAGGAGGGCCAGGTGGCTTTGGTCAGAATGGCATACCTGTGAGGACAGTGGGGCACAGGTATCACTCAGATGGGATGGCCTGGGCTTTCTGCTTGGTTGGGCAGGTGAGAGCTTTGCTCCTGGGGCACCTGGTGCTGATGGGACACAGTGGAGCCAGCTGTCAGTGCACTCTCCAGCCTCAGCACCCATGGAGCCCATTGCAAAGCTGCTTCCACCCCTCTTCCCCGGCTGCCGTGTGAATGCCTGGTGAGACTCTGCTTTTCTTTTCTTTCTTTTTTTTTTTTAAACATTGACTATTTTTTTTAAAGATTTATTTTTTAAATTTTTATTGGAAAGGCAGATATACAGGAGGAGGAGGAAAGACAGGGAGGAAGATCTTCCATCCGATGATTCACTCTCCAAGCGGCCGCAATGGCTGGAGCTGAGCCAGTCCGAAGCCAGGAGCCTCTTCCGGGCCTCCGAAGTGGGTGCAGGGTCCCAAAGCTATGGGTCGTCCTCACCTGCTTTCCCGGGCTACAGGCAGGGAGCTGGATGGGAAGCGGGGCTGCGGGGACTAGAACCGGCACCCATATGGGATCCCGGGTGTGCAAGAGGAGGAGCTTAACCATTGCACCATCGTGCAGGGCCCGAGACTCTGCTTTTCTTAAGATTTATTTTTACTTGATAGAATTATAGAGAGAAGGGAAGACCAAGAAAGATATCTTCCATCTACTGGTTCACTCCCCAAATGGCTACAATGGCCAGAGCTGAGCCAATCAGAAGCCAGGGTCTCCAACATGGGTGTAGGGACCCAAGGGACTTGAGCCATTCTCCACTGCTTTCCCAGGCCACCAGTAGAGAGCTGGATTAGAAGTGGAACAGCCGGGACTTGAACTGACACTCACATGGGATCAGAGGACCGCAGACAGAAGATAAGCCTACCACACCACTGGCTCCATTCTTTTCTGAACACCAGTCTCCTGACTTATTCAGAGCACTTAACTAATGCAGAGCATTTTAGAATGCTCACATCCCCTTTCCCAGAGCAGCAGTGGGCAGGTATCCCCTTCCATCTGTGAAACTCTGGTCATCCCAAGGCCCAAGCCCCTCTTTCCTTTGGGAACCCTTCCAGGAGGGCTGTCATGGAGCACCCTATCAAAACTCACCCTCCTCCACTTCTCTCTGGAAGGCAGGTTTGCTCACCACAATACCACCAACACAAGCTCTCCACTTCTCTCTGAACCACTGTTTTCCTGCAGAGCATGTGACGGGATGTGTAACTAAGCTCACGTTTGTGCTTATTTGGTTAGTGGAGGCTCCTCCTAACCCCCAGGGATGGGAGTTCCCTGCATAAGGAGGCCCCATTTGTGTGTCCCAGCAACAATGCTGGGCACAACTGTCACATACGGCCAACCATTACAGGAGACTCGCTCGGCCTCACATACGATGATTGGTGCTGCAGGTGCACGACCTCGTCTTATTTTTACGGCAGCCTAATCAGGTTGGACTCATTCTGCGGAGTAGAAGACGGAGATAGAGGGAGACTTGGTCAAGGCTGCTTAGCCAGTTAAATGTCAGAGTTGGGGCTTGCACTCAGCTTGCTGTCTTTAATCACGGCACTGCATATAAACCACAGCTTGGTTTAGATGTGTTTCTCTTAAAGACTGCACCAGCTCAGAAGAGGGCAATGTGGTGCAGGGAGTTAAGCCACTGCTTGCATCCAGTGTCACAGTGCCTGGTTTGAATCTCCACTGCCTCACACTTCTGACTCAGTTTCTTGCTGTTGCACATGGGAGGCAGATGATGACGCCAACACTGTGGGGTCCTGCCACTCATGGGTGAGAACCAGTTCCTCTCTCCCGGCTTTGCTGGGGCCCAGCTGCTGTGGGGAGTGAGCCAGTGGATGGAAAATTCTTCTGTTTTGCTCTTTCAAATATCTCTTTTCAAAAGATTTTACCCTCCACTCCACATGCCTATGCTAGAAGTATGTATAGCATGTTAGTGGCTGATGTGACAAGGGGGAGAGCAGCACATTACCATGTGTTGAACAAATGGGGACACCCATGTTGGGGATAGCGGGGTGGCCCTGCACAGGCATACTCAGGGCACGGTCAGTAGCCAGGACATGGCTCTGTTCCTGGGACATCATTTTTAAGATTTTATTTATTTGAACAGCAGACTGACAGAGAGAGAGAGAGGGACAGAAGGGGGGTGGAGGGAGGGAGGGAGAGAGAGAGAGAGAGATAATATTTTCCATCGATTAGTTCACTGTCCAACTGACTGCAATGGCCTTGCTAGGCCAGGTCAAAGCCAGGAATCCAGAATTCCATCTGGGTCTCCCACATGGGAACAGGGCCCCAAGTTCTTGGGCCATCTTCTGCTGCTTTTTCAGGTACACTGGCAAGGAAGCTGGATGGCAATGAGTCAGTCAGGACTTGAACCAGTGCTCAGATGGATTGCTGGCATCATAGCCAGCAGCTTGATGTACTGTGCCACACCACCAGCCACCAGGCTTTCTGAGTCTGTCAGCATTAGACTACCCAGGAGGGAACCATGAGAACTGATGGTTGGATCCAGGACCGTACCACCGAAGGGCCAGCTGGGTGGTTCTCATGGTGACTCCAGTATCCACATTTTGCCCATAACCTCAGAACTGTCCTAGAAAAGTAAACCCCCTGTTCCCTAATTAGGGGAACAACACTTCTGAATGAAAGAGCCTCGTTGGAACCACACATGTATATGAATAAACATCCTAGGTGCCATAATGGAGTGAATTCAACAAGTTAGGCTACAAATGTCCAAGAACAGAGCCTCTCTGAATGGGAGCAGCAGCAGGACGGTTGTGCCATGTAAATGGATGAGGCAAACACGGCTCACAGGGGACAGGGGACAAGGACTAGATCTTCAAGATGACAAGTTCCTCAGAGTAACTGTCCCTGGTTTCAGCTAATCACAGTTAAAAACTAAGTCTTTTTTGTTGTATAACTACAGACAAGGCTCTAAGGCAATCCACACTTCATTCCTTTTTTAAAAAAATTCAGCAATTCACACATAAGAAAATAAGAAACTTGAAAGACTTTTTTTCCCCTGGGAGATTTATTTGTTTGCCTGAAAGGCAGAGTTACAGAGAGAAAGAGAAGAGATTTTCCATTCACTGGTTCACTCCCCAACTGGTTACAACGGCCAGGGATAGGCCAGTCCAAAGCCAGGAGCGAGGAGCTCCTGGGTATCCTATGAGGGTGCAGGGGCAAAAGGACTTAGGCTATCTTCTGCCACTTTTCCAGGCCTATAAGTAAGGAGCTGGATCAGAAGTCGAGCTGTAGGGATTCAAACTGGTACCCAGATAGGAAGCCAGTACCATAGGCAGCAGGCTCCATCCACTGATTACAGTGTTAGCCCCTAAAGAGATTTTATTTTGGTAAGGCTTTCAGTGGTGTGAGATTCAGTATTGAAAAGGAATTTAAAAAACATTCATGGGAAAATAGAATTAAAAGATAACTTGGAGCTAGCATCATCGTATGGCATGTTAAGCTGCTGGCTGTGATGCCAGCATCACACATGAGCACCAATTTGAGTCCTCGTTACCTTACTTCCATTGAGCTCCTTGCCAATGCCCAGGAGCTAGCACAAGATGACCCAAGTACTTGCCACTCACATGGAAAATCTGGATGGAGTTCCAGGCTCCTGGTTTTGACTTGGCCCAGCTCCACCGTCACAGGCATTTGGGGAATAAGCCAACAAATGAAAGATCTCTTTCCTAACTCTGACTCTCAGACTATATAATATATATTATATATAAATATATACATTTTATATATTTTTAAATAAAGATATATATTAAATTTTAATAAAATAAAGATATATAATATGTATAATATTATATGTATATTATAATATTATAATATTATATGTATATGTATAATATAATATGTATAATGTATAATATATGTATAATGTATATAATATGTATAATATATACATATTATATATAAATATATATATATATTTTTTTAAATAAAAAGTCAGGGCTGACTCACGGCATAGTAAGCTAATCCTCCTCTTTGGTGCTGGTATCCTATATGTGTACAGTTTGTGTCCTGGCTGCTTTACTTCCTGATCCAGCTCTCTGCTTGTGGCCTGGGAAAACAGTGGAGGATGGTCCAAAGCCTTGGGACCCCGCACTCACATGGGAGACCCAGAAGAAGCTCCTGGTTCCTTGCTTCAGACTGGTGCTGCCCTGGTTGTTGCAGCCATCTGGGGAGTGAATCAGCAGGTAGACGGAACAGTTGTCTCCCTTTCTCTCTGTGTAACTCTTTCCAAGTAAAATAAATTTTGAAATAAATAAGTGAAAAATAAAAAAGAGAAGTCTATTAAGTCTATTTGGGAGCATAAATGTATTTTCCATGAACTTTCGGAGGACACCCAGCCCACAGGGATTGCCAGGGACACCTTGTCGCTCATGAAGACTGGCCCATCCTCGTCCTGCACTTTGGTGCTCCATGAACATGCTCAGGGCCTAATCCTGCTCTCCCACTTCATGCCCCCAGCTTATTCCACCTCTCCCCAGGACACACCAGCTGGAACAGGCCGTAGAGGCAACGGTGCTATTGCCTAACGGGGGCCTCTGGTCATTCTGCACAGACAGCGCTAAGAGCTCGCACTCCTTCCAACAGGAAATTGTCAGCTGAAAACTCAGGGTCAGTCTTTCCCCTCACAGTCCTGCTACAGGCTGTTGGCTCTTTGTTCTGCCTTTTGGTTGACAGGTTCTTTGTTATCTTCTGGATCATGGATCCAGTGTTTTCTTCCAGGAAGAAATGCAGCCCACCACCCGGTGACCCCCAGCTGGTGGCCCCAGGATGAAAGCTGTCTCCAGCCTCCAAGACCACAAATATCCCAGCAGCCTGGAAGCTCTCGGCCAGGCCGCTCCATCCATGGCCTCTCCTGAGCAGGCACCCCTTTTCTCATCCTCGTATTCCGAGGGGCTGACCTGAGACCAAGGCCGATGGCCGGGTGCTCCGAGGTAGACTCTGCAAGTCTCTTACGGTTCTACCATGTTC